CGGATCGACAACGCTGGATCCTACTCTTACCTGAGCCTCCAAGCCCCACTTCATCTCTACTTCCCTCCTCTTCGTCAGAAGGAATGGAGATTACTTTCTCAATAGTACCTACATTAAGTCAACACAAATGTTAGGTGGTGCGGATTCGACCTTACGCCTAAAGGCACAGTGTTAAAGGTTACCATCTGTTACGATCGTAGAGGTCGTAGGAGCCCCCGTATGCGGCCTCACAGGAGGAGTCACTCTAAGAATGATCACCCGAGCAGCATCATCCTGACCTTCCGCCTCTCTGACAGCCTCGACCGTCTCTTCGTGACGGACCTTCTTGGCTACCTCTGTTAGATATAGGTGCCCTGCAGGCAATTATTGTATATTGTAACAGGACCTATATGTATATAACATCCTTGTTCAAAATGATAGTATGCTATTTTGGTCAGATTTATCTGATGTTCTAAATATACAGATAATGTCCTTAGAATAAATACTAGACTATCAGACATTTCGGATAGTGATCGTAATGAAGAGATCTGATTAGTCAGTAACGTATATTCTAAAATGTTCCTAGTTGATGAAGTGTTGAGATAGGACATCATCACTTTGGTTTAGACTAGTGTATGCTTTATTTCTCCTTTTGAAGGAGATGATCGATCTCTTAGATCATTGATGTGAGACATCAAGATACGGTATACAGGTGACTCATTAGTGAATGAGTAGACTGAACGACTCGCCGAGAACATCTAGTTGGTAATATACTTAACTATCAAATAGAAGTCCTCAAGTGATATAGTACATAGTAGTCTCTTGACCTGAGGCATGAGTGCAATATCTTATATGTCAGTAAAGATGTATTTAGACTTTTACCTAACCACAGTTCTTATTGAATTGTGCATAACGGTTCTTGTTGGGTACATCCCGAGACATAAGTAGATATTGAGATGCCAAGAAGGGATTCGTCTCTCCCAGTATAGGGGTTGATGTCATAAGATTGTTTGATATAACTATAGCCTGGAAATCCTTGGCCAAGGTGAATAAGATAAACTGAGTGTCAGTTTGATCTTATAGGTTATGAGTTTAATATCAATAAACACTAATCAAGCTATTAGGGTTTGACAGTTTGCCATACCCTAGGCTCAATAGTTTGACATGGTTTGACGAAGAGACCGGACTGTACGGTATTATCATTGAGTGGTCCTGATAAAATTGGATAAGCATCTTGCAGACCTTTATCACAACTTATACCCGGGTGGTCTTCATGTGTAGCTAGCACCTCTGTTGTACTTATGGATATGATCCACTACCGAGTTTTTTAAGTTGGGCCCTAGAGTCACACCAAGCGCGTACTTGAATCCTATGAAATACAATTTATGGAGTGATGTGTATGATTGATACGCATATATGATTTCCTCCGGATACACATAAACGGTTATGTATATCGGTAAAATCGGAATGCTATGTGCTTAGGAAATGAATTCCAGTATTTTTCCCATAAAGTTAACTTTTAGTCAACTAGTTGACTTTTTGGTCAACAGTTGACTTTTGGTCAACTCTTGATTTATTTGGTCATATAGTGACTAATTAGTTAAAGATTGGAATAATACTATATACCGTATTTATGAAATACTGTATTAGTGATAATAATTTGGTATTCTCATTTATGAAATACACATACCATGTATAATGAGTCATGAGATGAGTCACTTAGTGGTATGGTTTGAGCACATGGTTTATTAGCACATGGTTTTGAAATGTAATGATTCATAAGATGATTCATTGCATGACTCACTTGATTAATCATTAATTTTTGATGATTCATTGCATGACTCATAGGATGAGTCATTCATATCATGAACACATTTCACTCTATAAATATGAGCTCTTTTTCTTATGGAAAGGTTAATGAAAAATTGGCTAAGTGTTTTTTCCATAAGAGAATAAAAGAGAGCTCTCCTCTTACTAAACTTTAGCAATCTTTGAGCAAGAGGAAGTAGTAGGATTTTAAGAACCCCGGGGTGGATATCTTGCCTTGTGTCTTAAGAAGACTCCCATTTTATCAAGCTCACTTGAAGACTTGGAGATCCACTACAAGGAGATTTTCTACTACAAGGAGCAAGAGCTAGGGGTTATTCGATCTTCCATCGAATCACGCTACGAAAGTATGACTTTCTAACTCTTGTATGCTCACTTAATAATAAGGATCATGTTAGATTTAATTAGACGATCCATATGAATATTTCATGCTCTCTACATGCTTAGTATTTTTGTACATACATGTCTTCCGCTGTGTATTATGCATGTAGACATAGCACGATTTCCTTCATGGTATCAGAGCTATGGTTCTATCTAATTGAATCTTAACATGTACATCTAACTCATGGAGGACCTTGTTCTTGCTTCTAATTTCTAGTTTACATGAAACTAGTTAATTAATTCAAGTTATTTTATAAAATAATTAATTACAACTAGTGTAGTTGTATGTTAGAAGCTTGTTAGTCTTTTTTGAGTTTGGATAATCCTTATGCTATCTAGTTTCCAATATGTTGCATAACTAGATAGATGCATATTTCTTAATGTTGATTAAGTTATATGATTTATCATCTTGCATGGATGTTATGTTTATGGATGGTAGTGGACAACTATTCTCTTGTATGTTTTGTATTGATGTAATAAAGTTAGAAATGTAATAATTATTTACGACCTCTTCCCTCCCCGAGCATGGGCTACGCCTACGGGTTTAGGCACTTGCTCACCGATCATGGGCTACGCCTACGGGTATAGGCCCTTGTTCGGGTGTGGGGGGGTATGGTTGCTTAGTTTAGTTATTTCATTTATAGCTTTTGCTTTATATTTAATGCAATATTATTACCCATCCTACGAGATGGTTTTTCCATTATAAATGGGGCTTGCACGTCCTATGTTTATATGATTGTAATAATACAGAGTTTGCAAGGGAACAAGCACCGCAAGGAGTTGCATATGGCTTGCTAAAATGTAATTAGTGTAGTTGCATTTTATTTTCTTTAGTTGTCCACTACCATTCTATATAAGTTTTACATTACATATGTTGATATGTTGGTTGTGCCCCAAATTGTAGATGTCAATACAATTGGGTGCTATTTTTTGCAAAGTTTATATCTCTATCTCACTAGAGAATAGTTTTTATTATAAAAACTCATTTTTTAAACTTTGTGAGACATGGCAATAAGAGTTTATTGACCATAGAGTGGTGAGATCGACATTAACATAGTGTTAGTGTGAAAGATAAATAAACCTAAAGCAGTTAAAAGAGATGTATTTAGAATGAGCTTTTAACTAGTGTCAAGGAAAGTAATTATGAGATATAGCTCATGGGGTGATGCCCAACTTAAGATTAGGGGTGATGCCCAATCTTTCGCGCTATAGTCTTAAAGAGAAGTGGTTACTTAATTAAGGTCCGATAAATATTCCCGGTGAATAGCTCGGAACCCTCCCACCAATCTTGCGCTTTCCTGGCTAGTTTAATTGTTGCAAGTATAAATATAGAGCATCTTTAAACTATATCAAGTTCGATTACGGTAAAAGATTTGAGAAATCGTCCGTAGCCCTCCATCATTTTAGTTAAATACTATTAAGCTTATAAATACTATGTTTGTTGGCATACGTCAAGGCATAACTATTCTATGGCTAAATAGTATTCATCTGTATATAAGATATAAGGATAGCTTAAGTTGGTTATGCAACTTTGTTGGCATACGTCAAGAGTTTGCATAAGTTAAATTTAAGCCAGTCAAGAAATGATGGGTACAAACTTGACTAGCATTTTATGATTTGTTGGCATACGTCAAGGTCATAAAAGACTAGGGGTAAAATCATATCAAGAATTACAAGAGTGTAAAAGACAAAAGTTGTCTACCAATTATTGAATGTGTTAATTTGTTGACATACGCCAAGGTTGATGCATTCAATGATAATTGGATCTTGATCCCACTTGAAAACAATGAGTTGTTTTCCGATCACCTATTATAAGGTTTTGAGGGACTCGAAAAATAGTGGGAGGCATAACTTAGATAAAAATAAACCAAATCTATTTTATGTATTGAACATCTGCTAAAATACCTTTTCTCTCTCTTTCAGGCCATTATGTCTGGTTTAAAACTCATATTGGAACAGAACAAGTTAACCGGTCCTAATTACAAAGACTGGTTGAGGAATGTTAAAATTGCCCTAACTTATGACAAAGTAGCATATGTCCTCACTGCGCCCGAACCTGTTCTAGGCCTAGAACCCACTATAGCGGAAACTGAAATCCGCAATACATGGGATAAAGATTGTTCACTTGCTCAATGCCTCACCATTGCCTCTATGGATTTGGTCCATCAGAGACAACATGAGAATATGGATATCAGATCCATATTTCGTAATACAGAAGAACTGTATGGCGAGCAACCGCGACAAATGAAG